GAAGAGGTTATTGGGCATAGTGGCTAAGAGTATGAGTTTGAAATCATAGACTGGAAGTATTCCTTTTTTGTTTTCAAAATTGTTGAATGCCATTAACAATTATATTGCTGTTAACCAATATATGCGAATGTGTGCTTTCTTTCATCCCCATCTGTGATTGAGATAAGGACAACAGGGGAATGTAGAAATCCCCCTAGCACTGATTCAATCCCCAATGAAGTCATAGTCCTGGTTACACTTAGAAAAGGTAGGATTCCATGGACCTTATTAAAATGACACCTCTTACTGTGAACAGCCCCAGGCATTGTATAAACTGTTAAAGTCCTGCAGTGATATTGTTTCAATGTAGAGAATATCTCATTGACAGTCATTGACTTAAAATATCTCCATCAAACTTTATTATGTGTGTGACTAGACTTCTTTTCTCCCTCCCAATTCTGATATTTTATTATTTTGTGATTAAAGACACTGGATCTAGCTGCTTGCTGTGTAAGGAGCACAATGCCTGAAGAATAAGTAACACTCTCCTTGCTCCTCTTCCTATTCTATTTTTTGATGACTGGTGAATTTCATAGAACTTAGCCCCGTATATGTTAAAGACAGTTTCAGAAATTTTGTGAAACTTTTAATAAATTATTACCTTGGTGCTCAACTTTGATTTAGTGATCATTATGTTAATTAATGCTTTCCAAACTGCTGAGGTTTGGTTAAGTCTAGATTATAGCAGCTTGAGTTATGACATGCTTTATCTTATATTTTAGTTATCAAAACCATACTGCATTAGCCTTCAGGAAATCTGGCCAGTTTTCATGATAAATTGACTCAGCCTTGTAATGCATAATTCAGTTGCACAGCTGTGTAGTCTGGCGTGTTCTCTGAGGGATGTAGTTTTACTTGTAGGTTTACATCAAGAAAATCTACTCCAATAAGTTTGATTTATACCCCAGAAACATATAAAAATGTGCATACTGATTTAACATAAACCCAAATTATATATTTTTAATAAACACTGAATATATTTTTTCTTAAAACTCAAATGCCAAGTTTTAAAGAAAGGCAGAAAATTTTGTGAAAGTTTTTTTACTTCATTCTAATAATGGATCCCTCATTTAGAAAAATCTTTTTTTTTTTTTTTTTTTCTGGTCATAGTTTCAATAAAAATGTTTTTTAGTAGTAATTTAAAATAGGTGTTGAATTTTTTATTATGAAGAGGTTATTGGGCATAGTGGCTAAGAGTATGAGTTTGAAATCATAGACTGGAAGTATTCCTTTTTTGTTTTCAAAATTGTTGAATGCCATTAACAATTATATTGCTGTTAACCAATATATGCGAATGTGTGCTTTCTTTCATCCCCATCTGTGATTGAGATAAGGACAACAGGGGAATGTAGAAATCCCCCTAGCACTGATTCAATCCCCAATGAAGTCATAGTCCTGGTTACACTTAGAAAAGGTAGGATTCCATGGACCTTATTAAAATGACACCTCTTACTGTGAACAGCCCCAGGCATTGTATAAACTGTTAAAGTCCTGCAGTGATATTGTTTCAATGTAGAGAATATCTCATTGACAGTCATTGACTTAAAATATCTCCATCAAACTTTAGCAATGCGTAGTTTTGAAAGTTTTAGGAGGGAGGCAAGAGAGTTTTTCTGAATGTTTGAAAAAATAATCGTTTTAGGAAGAATGTTTAGGAAATGAATTTTTACTTTGGTTTTGCTTACCTTTGAGGAAGTTCAGAAATTTCAACTTAAGCATTGAAAGAAATTCAATTTCAGGTGAGCTTTTTTTTTTTTTTTTAATTTCTTCTTTTAAAGGACTTAAGCAGTGGAAGAAATTCAATTTCAAGTGAGTATTTTTTTTTTTTAACTTCTTCTTTTAAATGATTGGTGGCATAGACATACCCTTCTTAACCAGAGGTTCATTTCAAAGACTGTGTTGAACACAGTGGGCCTAGCTGATATGCCTGTAATCCCAGCACTTTGGGAGGCCAAGGTGGGTGGATCACTTGAGGTCAGGAGTTCGTGACCAGCCTGGCCAACATGGCAAAACCACGTCTCTACTAAAAATACAAAAAAATTAGCCAGGCATGGTGGTGTGCACGTGTAATCCCAGCTATTTTGGAGGCTGAGGCATGAGAATCCCTTGAACCTGGGAGGTGGAGGTTGCAGTGAGCCGACATCGTGCCACTGCACTCCAGTCTGGGTGACAGAGCGAGACCTTGTCTCAAAAAAAAAAAAAAAAAAAAATCCTACGTTTACTTCCATTTGACTGTTATTTTCATGGCCATTGTCATTATTCCTAATTGTCAAAAATATTAAATAGAGATGAAGATGAAATTAATACTAAATTTTTATTCTTTATTAAAATGTTTGAATGATTATTTGATGGAGATAAATTTGTATAACTTACATGTCAAGTATTCTTTTTATGATTTTATGTACATGCTTACTATTACATAATCAATTTTGTGAATAGCAACAAGGTAAGGGTGTTGTATAAATACCAAGTATTGATTATATTAAATACTTGTTTTTATATATTTAACAATATTATAAACCGATAGCTGAAATCCAAATACTGTGCGCTTAGATAGTCTTTCAGGGTCACAATATCACTAGAATAGAATCTTTGACCTATACAGTATAACTAAATTTTGACAATACTTCAAAATTTTTAGGTAGTTTAATTTATGGATTCGTGGTTGTTATATGTATCTAGTATGATTTTAAAATATAGATCATTTACTAAAGCATATTTGATAATGTAAACTCTATTTCAAGCAATTTGGTTTCTACTTTCTGTTTCCCTCAACAGTCTAAGACAGAAGAAAACTGCAGAAGATTGCTACCCATTCAAGTAGAAAAACTCAAGCTGGAAAATTAACAGCACAGCTGGAAAGGCTAATGAACTTAGCATTTAAAAATGCTTATAGAGCTGCCAGATCTACCCCTTGATCCCAGAGGTAGCTGTTTTTGACATAATCAACCAATCATGAAACTTCAGAACCTTTTAAATAACACAGTGGTGAAATAGATTTGTTTATACCACAACCTTGACAATTTTTCTCACAATTGTCTTTCACCACCCATCATTTGCTCCTGACAAAGTGCCATTTCTTATATTCTCTTTAAAGAACAAGTGGCAAATTGACCAGCAAGGTAGCTGGCCAGGGTTAGAACTCTGTTATTGAATTCCTATGGTGGGAGTGAAAACAAAAATACTGATGGATACCCATGTTATGCCTACAATTAACAGAGTAAACATTTTAATAGGCATAGAAGACACAAACAGATGTTCTAATTGCATGTCTGTGAGAAACTGATGTTTACTAGTTCCACTCTGGCTTGGCCTTTGAGACCTCAGGAAGTTTCTCTCCCAGTGGGGATTTCAGTGATTTATTGATTTCAGTACAATGAATATTTCAGAAACTCACAGGATTTTTAAGAGGTTAAATACATCCTTACAAAGGTTAGCATTATTCACGCTTGAAGGGAATGCTTACTCTACTTTAACCAGGGTAGCTATGGCCACATTTGCCACATTCTTGCCTAAGTGGGAGAGAAGATGGATGGGGTAATGGAAGGGACTTTCTAATAGAAAATGTAGAAATAAAACATTGGCACAGAATTTTTTCTTTTCTTTTCTTTTTTTTTCTTTTCACCTTGAGCTGAACAAAAAATGAGGGAGGTATAAGTAACAGCAAACTCCTAAGCATTCCTGGTTGAAACACTGAGTAGTCTTGATCCAAACAGTAAAGATATTTTTTGGCTCATATCTGAAATTCAGAACCAAATAAAAATAATAATGCTTGGAAACTGGGAAGTTTTAAAAATGCTTAAGAAATGTTTAATTTATCACTCACATTCTGTACTGGTTTTCCAAGTCCATTCTCTTGTAATTATTTGGCTGTTTTTATTTTTCATTTTTTATTTTTATTTTTATTTTTATTTTTTTACCAGAAAGCACCTAAAAAATAATGGGTACTTTTTACTCTTATACTTTTTTCTTCTTAGTCACACTCATGGATATTAATAAACTGATATGTTCTCATTGCTGTTAATAATGATACTCAATCCTTATCCAAAATGTACTTCATACCAGGTACTGTGTAAGTGCTTTAAACAAATCATCTCAGTGAAATAATATCATTACATAAGATAACCAGGTATGAAATCATTTACAGACTATTTTGTAGTAAACATAGAGAGTATTTTATCTTAGCTACTCTTTCAAATTGGGCTCGATTATTGGTTATTTGCAATAAGATTTGGCTAACTTTTTTCTTCTTAAGATTAAAAATAAATAGTAGATAAGAATTTTGTTGTGGGCCAGGCCTCCTGCTGGTGTGTTTTATGACTCTAGGCCAGCACTGCCGAATATAGTAGCTACTGGCTAAGTGCAGTCGTTGAATGCCTGAAGCATAGTTGGTCTGAATTAAAGATTTAAATGTTTTCTCTTAGACAATATTTAAAACAGCATTTAATATTTTTGTATTGATTAGATGTGGAAATGGTAATATTTGGATATATTGGATTCAATTAAATAGATTATTAATATTAATTTTAGCTGCTTTTATTGGGGGGAAAGTAATCCCTATTCAATGCATGGTACAGGGACAGCTGGCTAACCATATGTAGAAGAATGAAACTGGACGCCTACATTTCACCGTACAGAAAAGTTAACTGAAGATAGTTTAAAGATTTAGATGTAAGACCTCAAACTATACGAATCCTAGAAGAAAACCTAGAAAATACCATTCTGCACATTGGCCTTACGAAAGAATTTATGACTAAGTCCTCAAAAGCACTTGCAACAACAATAAAAAAAATGACAAGTGGGACCTAATTAAACTAAAGAGCTTCTGCTCAGCAAAAGAAATGATCAACAGAGTAAACAGACAACCTACAGAATGGGAGAAAATATTTGCAAATTATGCATCTGACAAAGGTCCCTATAAGGAATGTTCACAACAGAACAAACAAAAAACAAATAACTCCATTTAAAAATGAGCAAAAGACATGAATGGACACTTCTCTAAAGAAGAATATAAAAAAATGCTCAATCTCAATAATCATCAGAGAAATACTAATCAAAACCACAATGAGATACCATGTCACACCAGTCAGAATGGTGATTATTAAAAAGTCAAAAAACAACAGATGCTTGTGAGCCTGCAGAGAAGGGGAATGCTTACACACTGTTGATGGGAATGTAAATTAGTTCAGTCACTGTGGAAAGCAGTTTGTAGATTTCTGAAAGAACATAAACCAGAATGATCATTCAACCCAGCAATCCCATTATGGAGTTTATATGCAAAAGAAAATAAATTGTTCTACCAAAAGGGCACATGCACTCATATGTTCGTTGCAGCCCTATCATCAAAAGCAAAGACATGGGATTGAAACCACCTTTGCAAAAAACATAACAGAAAATTATTGCAATGAGAGAGATCTTACCTAACCAACCCCATCTTGCTTCTGAGCTCCAAGTTGTCCTTGGCGTAGGCCAAACTAACTTTGGGAGGAACTTAGTTTATAGTTTAGCTTTGAAACAAAGATGAAAACAGCCTTTTCCCAAAACAAACCCCTTTCCTGCCTGGGGACTAGGCTGCCTTTGCAGGACTAAAAAATTAGCCACAAGATTAGAAATTATGGTTTAGGAGTCATGCAGCTGGAGGCTGCAAAATTCTAAATCTCCTCAAATTGCCCCTGGGGATAACATCACTATTGTAAAACCTAAGATCCCTGCTTAAGATATTTTGCAGACCTTCCCTGTGCTGGATGGATCAGCTGGCACCACGCAAATGAATAAACTGGCACATCTGATCCTGTGGCCTTCATCCAGGAACTGACTCAGTACAAGACAGCTTCGACACCCTATGATTTCATCTCTGACCCAACCATCAGCATTCCTGACTCACAAGCCCCCTTCCCATCAAATTATCCCTAAAAACTTCTAACTCCAAATTCTCCAGGAAACTAATTTGAGTAATAATAATGTCCATCAATGGTGGATTGGATAAAGAAAAGAAATGTGACACACACACACACACGTGTGTATATACATATATATACATGTATGCTATGGAATACTATACAACCATAAAAAAGAATGAAATCACGCCCTTTGAAGCAACATGCATGCAGTTGGAAGCCTTATTCTAAGTGAATTAATGCAGAAACAGAAAACCAAAAACTGCACATTGTCATTTATAAGTGGAACTTAAACAATGGGTACTCATGGACATAAAAATGGCAATAGTAGACCCTGGGGACTACTGGAAGGGGTAGGGAGGGAGAGGGACAAGAGTTGAAAAGCTGTAGGGTACTATGCTCAGTACTTGGCTGATGGGATCAACTGTACCCAAACCTCACATCATGAAATATAGCTGGGTAACAAACCTGAATATTTACCCTCTGAATCTAAAAAGTTGAAATTATTACTTTTTTTACCTGCTTCTTTTTACTTTTTAAAATGTGACTACTCGAAAGTTTAAATTTTCGTAACTAGAATTATTTGTTGAGCAGCATACAATTTCTCAAACCTTGGAACTAGATTGGACACTGACAGCTTGATTTCCTATTCCACACTGATTATTGCATTTTACTTGCTTTTATTTCAGCAACCATAGAAAATCCAGCTCCACAGAGGTGTAGCATCATAAAAAATGTAGCATAACTTGGAACACAGTTTGGGAACCACAGATATATACTATTAAAAACTCGACAATTTTTAGTTTTGTTACATATGCCATGTCTCGGTGGAATGATGAATTCTATGCTGTTATCAGAATACATATCTTATTCACCTTTATGCTCATTCATCTATTCATTCATTCATTCATTTAGCTATTCATATTCAGTATCTAAAATGTGCAAAACATTGAGTGCTGTGTGCTGCTGATACAGTAGTGAGAAACGCTGACAAAAATCCCTATCTTGTGGAGTTTGCATTCGAGTAAATAGAAACAAAAAGAGAGAGAAACCTGAAGTGAACAGGAAAACAAGGTAATTGCAAGTCATGATAGGTGCTATGGAAGTGAGACGCCATGGAGCACTGCAGGGGTGGGGTGGGGTGGCCCCTTGGGTGGGGCGGCCAGAGAGGCCTCTGAAGTGACATTTGAATGGACACCAACAAAGGGAATAGTCAACCTGGAAAAGCATCTGAAAAGAGCATTCTGAAAGATTAGCAACAGCAAAGACCTTAAGAATGGAAATAACTTGGTTCCATAACTTGGGGTGTTAGCACAACAGAAAGAAGACTGCTGTAGTTGAGGAAGGGGAAGCCTGATGTGACAAGCTGTAGAGCTTGGCAGGTGCCTCTGTGCAAGACATTGTATGCTACAATCAACAGTTTCAGTTATTATTTTCCAAAAGCAAGGCTTAAGCTACCTAGTGCAATGCTTTTCCTGTAACAGGCATCAAGTAAATGTTTGTGGAATTAATGTAGATAGCCAAATGGGTGCCAAAAATGAATACAGGATCCAGCTTTTTAAAATAAGTCTTAAGGTTTTTTTCTGATCAATTTAATTTTTTATTCTTTCAGAAATAGACTTGTTTTATTACAGGAAAAATAAATGACTAATTATTAACGTCTTCATTTGCAATTAACCACTTTTTTTTAAATATATGAGTTTGTCAGGAGTAGGAAGCTGTGATGGTTAATATTGAATGTCAACTTGATTGGATTGAGGGATGCAAAGTATGTTCTTGGGTGTGTCTGTGAGGGTGTTGCCAAAGGAGATTAACATTTGAGTCAGTGGGCTGGAAGAGGGAGACCCACCCTCAATCTGTATGGGCACCATCTAATCAGCTGCCAGTGTGGCTAGGATGAAAGCAGGCAGAGGAACGTGGAAGGACTGGATTGGCTTAGTCTTCCGGCCTACATCTTTCTCCCATGGTGGATGCTTCTGGCCCTCAAACATCACACTCCAAGTTCTTCAGCTTTTGGACTCAGACCTTTGACCAAGGCTGAAGGCTACACTGTTGGCTTCCCTTTTGAGGTTTTGGGACTTGGACTGGTTTACTTGTTCCTCAGCTTGCAAATGGCCTACTGTGGGACTTCACCTTGTGATTGTATGAGTCAATAGTCCTTAATAACCCCCCCTTTATATATAGGTCTATCCTATTAGTTCTGTCCCTCTAGAGAACCCTGACTAATGCAGAGGTTCTATATAGGGACCAACCAAGACTGAAATCTTTGGGGAATTACCTTAATTCAATGGTAGCTTCCAGGTGTGCTACCAGGCAGGTAATCCAGAGCTCATGAAACAGAAAGACTGACAGACCAAATAAAGCTGCTTGGATAGTGAATTTATTAAATAAATCATAAACATACAGCAATAGCAAGGGCAAACAGACTGAGCAGACTGACATACTTGGAAGATGGAGCAAGTGGCACAGAAGGCAAGTCCTAAGTTATGCCATGTGTACATACTCAGGATTTTCCTGCTGACAATGCGGCTACAAGAATCAGGTGAAAGTGTGGTAGTCAGAATAATGGTCCTTGAAATGGCTTACACTTTAATCCTCAGTATCTGGGAATATTGGTGATTCCCTGAGTCAGTGTCTATGCAAATATCACTTTAAAGAGATCTTCTCCGGCCACCCTATCTCAGCTATCTTACATGGCTAAAGGGATTTTGCAGATGTGATTATGTCAAAGACCTTAGCAGGGGGATTTTCCTATATTATCCAGATGGACCTAATCTGATCACACAAGTTCTTAAAAATTGGACAATATTTCCTGGGCTCCAGTCAGAGAAGTGTGAGGATGGATGGAGAGTCAAAAGAATGTGATGCTGCTGCTGTTGAAGATGAAGGAAGATGTCCACCAGCTAAGGAATGTGGGTGGCCTCTAGATGCTGGAAAAAGCAAGGAAGTGGATTGTCCCCATCAAGCCTCCAGAAAGAAAT